AAAGTAGAATATTGTGCAGGATATAGTAGCATATTTTAGAAAAAGTAAAATTACGCACGCTAAGCAGAAAGAGGTTCGTGTTTTACGCTGCAAAGATATTCATGATTTGACAAATAATTGCCTTTCTTTTCATATAAATGTCTCTTTTTTACCATGTATTTTTGGTGCTTTGACCAGTTCTCCCATTTCCAACCCACTACACGTAATTAAGAACATGGAAACAGGTGGAAGTCATTCTCCAAATCACTTAAATGTATTTTAGATTAGATGCTTTTCGGACTTTTTGCACTTTGCGTAATTAGGCCCGGTTCTAATCATCTCTCATTCGGCTGCTGCTCTGACCTGACCCGTGATATAAAAAAAAAACAGGGGGCTTCCAGACCCTCTAAAGCATGACAAAATAAATAAATCATACAGGATCACCAAAAAGCAGAGGCTGGCTTTCAGGGTTTTGAAAGGCACAGGAAGCTGGAGGATTTGGTGCGACCCCTGCATGGTGACAGAGCTGATATTAGAGACCCCCATTCATCTGGAGGGGGTGTGTGTGGAGGGGATGTTGGGGTGTGTGTGTGGGGGGGGGTTAGGGTGCATCTGCAGAAGAGGTCCCAGCACCCTCTGATCTGTGAGCTGCACACATCACGGCGTCCATTCACAAATCCTCCTCTGCGCGTCACCTTTTGTAGTAACTCCATAGTACTGAGCGCTGGTGACGTGGAAGACAATCCTACCAAGGAAAATACAGAGAAGAAGAGAGAGGGGGGGGGGGGGGGGGGGAATAGGTTATAGGAACTCAAGGACAGGGCACATGCGCACACGATGTCTTATAGTAGTAAGAAGGGGGGTTATGTGTGAGGAAGAGGAGGGTGCAGCTATAATATGAAACCTGCACAGAAACAAAACTAGAAGTGCGAAAACTGATTTTTTTTCTTAGGGATTTTAACCCCAAAAGCAGGAAAGCTTCACCATGCAGTGTGTGTTTTTTTTTTTAAAGCATTCACTTATTTACAGACAGACATGACATGTGTGCATGATCAATATTTCCTGCTTGCATGAACAAGAGCCGAATATATTCATGGTAAATTATAATTGTATCCGAGGTTTGCTTCAAATACAAGGCAATACGTGCGTTTAGCAGGTTCAGAACAACAAGCTGCGGTGATGAGGGTGTGATCGTATGCTGGGGAATTACAATAAGGCCTAAAAAAAAGAAGAATTGTGCAAAAACTTCCGACTATATGAGAGAATAGACGCTTGAAACGTGCATGTGTGTGTGCAGAGCGATTGTTGCACACAGAAATAGGTTAATTATAGTCGACTTTGAAGGACAGCGTGTCTTTAAAACGCCATTATTGGACTATTGGACTATTCAAAATGTGCGTGGATGTTTTAAAGTAATCACTAAATAAAAAGTACACACGCTTAAACAAACTGTAAAGCTTTTTAACGCAGGTTTTACGCACTCTTTTGGATTGTTTTAGATCATAAAAGCAAGAAAAAAAAATTCGACTCACATCCTGACACCACCTTTGCAGAGACCTACGGATAAAATATAATAAAACACACCTACAAATATGTTCAAGGGTCATGAACGCTTCATTTTGGGTGGATATTTCCAACTGAATTCAGCAATATTTGAAGAAACAACTGAATAACATGAAGGGGGTTCAGTGTAGCCGATGAAGCGCAAGACAATATAACCAAAAACAGCCAAACATAATAATAAAGCAGGTTTAGAATCACACTTACTAGCTTGTTGCCTGTCTTTACTTAGAAAAAATAACACTAATATGCAAATCAACTGGATGCTGTAGCTATATGTTAACCCTTCATCGACAGGACAAAGTGTCCTAAGAGTAAAAACGGAGGCCTCAGTCAAACAAAAAATCCTCAGTAAGCAATGACTGGCTCTCCTAAAACAGGAAGCATTGTGTCCAAAAGAAACCGATGCAAAGTGGGCAAACAATAGGGAATAAAATATGTGTAATTGTGTGGTATTTGCTGCAGAAAACACACATATATTCTAGTGTAGTTTGCAAAATAGAAAGATTACTTGTGCGCACTTTTGGGGGTAAAAGTGGCTGTGCGTAAAAATCATAACCGGCACTTTAAAATAGAAACAGGTGAAATAACTACCATTCATGTCGCTTTTTAAAGAATGATAGGATTGTATGAGTTGTAATATGGCTTGATATGTGCATGTTTAGCAGTGCACACATGCTCTTATTATAATTCAGAGGCTGGTGTCATTTCCTCCAGACTGATTTCCTCCTGCTCTGTGAGGTTAGAGGCCAGCAGCGGCCTGTCTGCGGGTCCTTTGTGTTTATTTAGCCTCAACATTAATCTGCGCTTCCCCTCACATAGGGAGAAACAATCGCAGCATGAGAGAGGCTGTCTAATTACATCTCTCACTTTTAACTCTGTGCAGCCGACATGTGATGAGCCCTTTGTGCCACATGAGAGACACAAACAGGTAGATTTTAGGGATAAGGATTTTAAAAAATGAAGAAAGAAAGAAACCCATATCAGCCTGTGACGTGCGTTTTGAGAATATGGGCTAAAGTATTTTAGGTTATATAAAATCATCTAATTTGCTTCGCTTTTTGCACAAAGCCCCTGTTTAACAAGTGAAAAGTCACTTATAGGTGTTTTACGCACAACCAGGCTTATTCTCGAGTTTCAATTTAGAAACCAACACATTAAACCCGTTTTGAAAAGGAGCACATGAGAAGTGCATATTGCGGGTATGGCAAAAGCTACAAAAAACTGTGAAATCAAATTAAAAAAGGCTCACCACAAAATAACATTTTAAGGAGTTGTAGTTACTCCCACTCCCGAAAAAACGACAACGCACACTTGTAGACTTGTCCTAATAAAAAGAAAGTATCTGGATGTCTTTCGAACTGAAATGAAAACAGTTTTTAGCAGCAGCACACGAAAAGCACCTTGTAAGTTATGGCAAAAGCTGGAAAAACACTGAAAAATGTTATAAAAAATACTGTTGTTTCCATTTAAGAAATGTAAGATAATCACAAATACATTTTTACTATAATCTTGGAAATGTAAGTTACTCCCACACCAACAAAAACACAATAATGCACGCTTGTGATAGTAAAGAGAAAGCAGATGCATGACTTTCTAACTGAATTGTTCCTCAGTCTCAGTCCTTCTGCTCCACAACTATTTACTAAGAAAGCATCTGCATGACTGTCTCACTGAAATTAAAACAGCTTTGAGCAGCAGTACATGAAAAGTAGTTCATATGTTATTGCAAAAGGTGAAAAAATTGCAAAATCATATAAAAAAACACAAATGCTTCAACATTTTAAGAAATGAAGGCTGCTCCCACTTCCAAAAAAACAACAACAGTGCACACTTGAGATAAAGAGAAAGCAAATGCATGACTTTCTCACTGAAATGAAAACAGTGTTGAGCAGCAGTATGAGAACGTGTTCATATGTTATTGCAAATGTGAATAAAACTGCAAAATCAATCAAAAATAAAGCTGCTCTCACTCCAAACAAACCTACAATGCACGTTCTAGTCTTTAGATGAGATGAGACTGTCTCACTTAAAATGTACTTAAATTAAAACAGTTTTGGGCAGCAGCACATGAAAAGTAGTTCATATGTTATTGCAAAAGGTGAAAAAAAACTGCTAAATCATAAAAAATAAATAAAAAAAAAGCTTCCCCCACTTCCTAAAAAACTAAGTTAAACAACAACAATGCACACTGCGTGACTTTCTAACAGATTTCTTCCTCACTCAGTCTCTGGTCCTCCTCGGTGCCCTCTTGGCTCTTTACGCCCGGGATCAGTCTCGGAGACCCGGCTTCTGGATCCTCTAAAGGCCGGGAGGGGGGGGGAGCGTCCCGGGAGGAGGAGAGCTAACTTAACATCGGTCAGCAAAGTTACCCAAAGTTTTGTCTTTGGCGCGACTCAGTGTCCCGAAACAATTTGTTTGCATCACTGATTTCTGTTAAAGGGATAAGGACCCTGTCCGCGCGCAGCGTCACGAGAGGCCAACATGAGAACATCAAAAACACACATGGACATTTAGCTTGGCACAGTTTCTGTTTTCAGGCATTTTCGAGCCAATTGTGAGACACATCCTTCAAATACAGTGGTTATAATTACCATTGTTGTGTAATTGCATTGGATTTCAAATAGATGCATGCTTTAAAGGGTCCACAATGACTCCAAATGTGAGCCTAGTGCACTGTTTTCCGGCTTTAACCTTGGCCCACAAGTCCTATTGACCTCAGAGGTGTTATAATAACCTGTAAAGCAGACAAAGCCTGTTGAAAATATGATTTTTTCAATATATTTTCAGATATTGTAAATGAAAAAGCTTTTAATGTCCTAAATCTCCAAATTCGTCCACATTGAGCTCTGGGATTTTATCATCACGTTAGTTTTAAAATCTGATTTTTGGGTTTAAATTGATTTAAAATGGAAGTTTGGTGATCTTAAAGTGCTTACAATGACATGTATGTACACCTGAGATATGTTTTAATGTAGTACAAATGTACTATTCTTGGTTGTATTGGGAATTCCTCCCTGCCCTGCAAGCAAAGGAGCCCCGGGGGTCTCAGTTTGACAGACGGTGCTTCCATTGTTTTAAAACATCAAACAATGTGATGTGCATCATGTTTTGCGTTGCAGACTCAAATAAAGAAAAAATAGAATGCCGCTTCTTACGCACAGAGTAATTATTGGGAGTGTGTGTGAGCATGCACTGGATTTAAATGAGGCTTCTTCCCCTTTACTGGGGCGAGGATGGGCGTTTGTGGACTGCTCCGGAGTCTGCGTCACGTGGCCTAGTTTCTGCCATCCTATTGGTCCAAGGCACGTGTCTGGGAGGACGGTGGGAAAACGTCACTCGAGGGGCTCGTATTGAAAATAAGAACAAAACTCCAGAGTGAGAGTATTAGAGCATCAGTTTAGGAGCCTCTTTATTTACCCTTAGTTTAGTTTAGGTGTAGCGGAGCGCACAGAAATTGGATAAATTGGACGGTGCGCAAATGGCACATTTAGCTCAGCTGTAACCCGAGGTTGAGGGAATATATGTCAAAAAAGTATGCTTTTCTCAGAGGACACTATTGCAAGACTTTGCATGGTGTCCGAGGCGCTCACTAGCATTTGAGTTTTATTTTTTTTAGCGTGCAAAAAATCCTGCAATTTAATTTCTCCCCAGAAGTTCTTTTTTGCACATTTTAAATTGCAGAGGCGACAAAGGGGTTAAAGCGCGTAAAGGAAAGTGAATCAGTATGGAAGAAAATGATCAGGGCAACAGAGACGTGGTGGTGGAGGAGTCGGCGGATGAATCCAACAGAGATGAGTCCAACAGAGCCATCCTCCCCATGCTCCATCAGCCCGGGAACCCGCAGATCCCGCACCGGGTCACCAATTTCTTCATCGATAACATCCTGCGCCCGGACTTCGGACGCAAAAAGGACGGTGGAGAGACCCGAGAATCAGAGAGCAGCCTGAACCTCCACAGCCCTGCTCAGACCGAGCCGGTGGGGGGGAACACGGTGCCGGCGGAGGGCACCTCCACTCCTCACACTGTCACCGGGACCAAGAAGCCCCCTATAGCCGAGGAGGAGCCCCTGAAAGCCCGCAGAGAGAAAGGAGACCAGTGCCTAAGCTCAGACTCAGACAGTTCCCAAGCCAGCTCGAACCCTTCCCAGTCCAGTAAACCCATGCTGTGGCCGGCCTGGGTTTACTGCACCCGGTACTCGGACAGGCCTTCTTCAGGTTGGTGCTTCACTTCGTTTTCACTCCGTACCGTATTCCCGGTAACCTGAAATACCCCGTAACACTGACCCCGGATGCCTTGACCGAGTTCTCCCGAGTGGAGCAGCGACGCGTGCAGAGAGAGCGGAGCAAAACTGAGAATATACTGAGCATAAAAGCACGTAGGATTTTTGTAGAAATATTATTTAAATGTAAAACGCAAATACATTTGGTACACGAAGAGTATGCGGTTGTAAAATGTGATTTTATAAATATAAATAAATATAAATCGGGATTTTCCGTGAGATGAGGCCTGTTTGAAACTAGAAAGGAATATTATGTATTTTAAAAGTAACTTATATTTAAACTACTCGCAAAAGTAATTTTAAATACATTTAAAAAAATAGCTGTTTGGCATTTACGCACAGATGTATTTTCTTTAAATGTTACAAGTTGTTGTTTATTTCCTCGGGTTTGAATATGATGAAACCGGGGTCGTACAAATACTAAAAAAATAGCTCGATGCATGCTGAAAGTCTCCCAGAGAAACTGCAATTTTGCAAAAAATTATATTCTTGTTTTAGCACTTTGGCTCTTTGCTGAAAGTTGAGTTTGGGGTGAATTAAAAATGCATGTATCCACAATGGACGCTCCCACAGCTTGTGTGTGTATACTGTCCCGAAGTGTCTCCTGGTATTATTCCCTGTGTTTGTTTATAAGAAAACATAGGGTACAAGTTGTCAGCCTGCAGCAAACTTAATATCAGGAGTGTTTTCTGGAGCGTCCATATGAAAAGTGGAGTACAACTTGTTCTCATGCATTATGTAACGCTGTATGGAGTAGCGTAGAGGACTACTACGAGTTGTAGAGCTGCTCAGCTTGTATATGGGCTGCGTGGAAAACACACACACACACCACACACACACAGAAGCTGATTCATCAGGTTCGGCGTGTTGTATAGCTTCATGTATGTTTTCCTCGCTGATTGGAGGAGGGAACCAAACACGAAGGCCTCTATAAGCAGAATGAAAATGATCGTAATGTGTTGCTGCTCTAAATTCTCTTCACGTTTCCTCCATTGAGGAGCTTTTCAAGTGGCCCACAAAAACAAAAATGCAAAGCAGCTGCAGCGAACTGTATCCTGTGCGCTGTTGCTGCGTAAAAGTGATGTTTCTCCTACTGTCGTCCTATTGGTTCATAATTCCTTATTACTACAGACAGTGTATATGTGTGTGTGTGTGTGTGTGTGTGTGTGTGTGTGTGTGTGTGTGTGTGTGTGTGTGTGTGTGTGTGTGTGTGTACATAGCCTATATGTGTGTGTAAGCGAGGAAGAAGGATAGGAACAGGGAGGGGTGGGGAGGTTTTGGTTCCTGGGTGTTGGTGGTGTCAACAATTTTACAATCGTATTAAAGTGTGCCAAAAAAAGGCTTTTGGGAATCAATTAAACTTATTCTGTGAATTGTTTAAAACAAAATCACGTAAGCCCCGAATGACTTGAGGGTGCATTAACATTGGTTTAATTAGTTATTTCTCTATTTTGGATCGTTAAATACGTTTTAAAATTTGTTTTTTCCTTCGAATATAGACTTTACGCACCTGTTTTGCACATATGCACACTACCATTGGTTTACTTAGTTATTTCTCTATTTTGGATCGTTAAATACGTTTTAAAATCTATGTTGTCCTCTAAAACAAACTTAAAGCACCTGTTTTGGATACATACATATTTATCTATTTTGGAAAGTCACATTTTCTTCTAAATATACATTACGCACCAGTTTAAGATGAATATGCGTAATAATGATTCATGCATGGACACTGGTTTACTTATATGGTAAATACGTTTTCAAATCTAATTTATCTTCTTAAGTTGACCTTACGCACGTGTTCTGGATACATATTACCCTGGATGTATGGATTGGTTTACTTATTTCTCAATTTTGATAGTTTTAAAATTCAGTTAACTTCTAAAATACATTTTACGCACGAGTTTTGGACGCATTTGCATGTAAAGTAGTAATACGGCACTTAGACGTAGATTGAGTAGTTTACTGAGACAACTCATTTTAAAATTAATTTCTAAAGTTGTTATTGAGCCGTATGCATCATTACGTTTTGCCTTGTAATCATGACCATGTTTTGATGCTGACAAAACAATATCTGAGTGACCCCTCCCCACATTACAGTGCCAAAAAACACCAGTTTAAGATGCATATGCATGTCTCAGTTTAAATAGAGTATTTTAAGGAGCAAACTATATTTAAAATACATTTCTAAAATTGATATTAAACCGTATGCTTGGTCACGTTGTTGCCTTGTAATCCTTGCCATGTTTTGATGCTGACAAACCAATATCTGCGGGATCCCTCCCCACCTTACAGTGCCAAAAACCATCAATATGCAGTCTCTGTTTTAATACGATACTAGTTAGACGTTGATTGAGTATTTTATGGAGCAAACTATATTTCAAATTAATTTCTAAAGTAGTTTTTGAGCCGTTTGCATGATTACTTTACTGCCTTGTATGTTTTGATGCTGACTAACCACTATGTCTGTGCCCCCTCCCCACCTTACAGGGCCAAGATCTCGCAAACCAAAGAAGAAATCGACCACCACCACCACCACCACCACCGCCACCGCCCCCACCAGCAGCAGCAGCAGCAGCAGCAGCAGCAGCAAAGAGGACAAACGACCACGGACGGCCTTCACTGCAGAACAGCTGCAAAGACTAAAAACCGAGTTCCAGACGAACCGATATCTGACGGAGCAGCGGCGGCAGCACCTGGCGCAGGAGCTGGGCCTCAACGAGTCCCAAATCAAGATCTGGTTCCAGAACAAGAGGGCCAAAATCAAGAAGGCCAGCGGGGCTAAAAACTCTCTGGCCTTGCACCTGATGGCACAGGGACTTTACAATCACGCCACCGTCACGTCCAAGGACGAGAAATCCGACAGCGACTGATCAGAGGTCTGTTAGCCAGCCCATAAAGTCCTCTGGTGAACCCGGAAATGTTGAGAACCTCAACGTTTTATGTTAAAAATGTATAGAAGGGGTCCCCAGCACATAGAAACTGCCGGAAGCTAACCTGCATATGTTGGGCAATTTGCACAATTAGCATACGTTGTGTTAATTAGCATTAATTACGATTATAGCAGGGACAATAGTCAAAAAAAAAAGGCTTGGCCGATATGGACAGTTATGGAGTGATTTTTGGGGGTACTTGAGGATGCTTAGTCAATTTCTGACATAAATGGCAATATTGTTACTCTCTGTGGGCTGATTTTGATACATTTTGGGTCGATTTAGTCGACTGTTGATCATTTGGATTGGACAGATTTCCTATTTATTTCTAAATATATCAAATTCAGTCCACAGAGAGTACAAATATGGCCACTTTCTGGTTAAAACTGCAATTTTGGATCCTGAAAATGTCAGAAATTGATTCAATATCCTCAATAATCCCCCAAACCACTCAAAGTGTCCAAATCGGCGAAGCCATTTTCAAACTATTGTTTATACGCAACAATGCCATTCATTTTAATTAACGCAACGTAAACTAATTGTGCAAATTGCTCAACATATGCAGGTTAGCATCCGGCAGTGTCTATGTTCTTGGGACCCTTACTATACATTTCTATCATTAAACGTTGGGGTCTCAACATGTCGGGTTCCCTAAACTGGCAACAGGACCACAGAGCAGCCTCCTGACGAACAGACGCTATAGTAATCCTACGATAGATTTTTATAGAGATATCACAGCAAAACTACAGGAAATATTTAAAGAAACCAGTATACTGCTCACCCACTACAGATAAAACCGTCCCTACAGAATGTCAGTCTCTATAGCCTCCTGCAGGAATATTATAGTGGGGTTTCGTTATATGGGAGGGGTCTGTCAAGCCTACAATGCAATAATCTCATCGAATAAAGGGCCAGTGTAGAGAATACCAGCATAAATTGTTTAAAAAAAAAGAGATATTTCTGCAATATCACGTCTATAAAAGATGTTGTATAAAAGTCATTGTTTGTCCCCCCCCCCCCCCCCCAATATGAGGTGCTCACACCCTTCATTTTTTCTATAGGCCTCTCATGATTGTCATTTCTCCATGGAGCTAAAGCTGCGATGTGTCAGTGAAGTGAACAAACCGAAGTCCAAAGAACATTTGTGCTGCACCCAGGCTACTGTGAATTTAAATAAATGCTAACACCACTTTTTATTATTAATTAATATTATTATTATTATTATTCCCATAGTGCTTGTTGGTTTGTGTTTCAATGTGAAAACAGGGCAGAGAGAGGAGGGTGTTTTTAAATGTAATTGGGCAGACAATGAATTTTGATACGTTTTTTGATACGTGTCTAACGCCACTAAAATGCTAAGCTAGGCTAAGCTAGGCTACCCCCCTCCAATGCATCAGTGCAGCTGTTGTAGTTTAACCAGCAATATGAATCATTTTGTAGCTCGAAGGCTCACTCTGTAGCATAAAGACAATGATGACCCCCCCCCCCCCCCCCCCCCCCCCCCTTCTGTTCTAGAATAGCCTCTACAAATCCTTCTCTATATACAGTTTTATTACATTTATCATGAAAAAGGCAAATCCGTCACTGACTGTATTACAAATCGTTGTTGAAAGGACTTCATATGTGTATTTATATAGATTATATTGAGAAAAAAAATCTATCCAATGACCAGTGTTGCTTTAGAGTAGATATCTGAGGTGTTCACACTGCTTGTTTATCTTGCAATAACTTCCTTTTCTTTTTGTTTTGTGAATGAAAATAGTTTATGGGGCCTTTTTGCATGAAAGCTGCAATTTGTTGTACTTGGGGGGCAAAAATAACTGTGTTTATAAACTTTATCGACGGGAGTATGAAGTTTTAGACTGTATCCATACCAAATTGTGGACTTTTCTGCCTTTTTCAAAGTGTTTTTGTTGTGTATCTGCAAAAAGTGTGTGTGAATTAAAATCCACCAAACAGAGACACACTTTGCCTTAAAGTTCAAGTGTGAACTTTTTTTCTGAAACAGAAACTGTGCCGAATCAGAGAAGCAGTATTACTTCAAATGCAGACTATTCAATGCCTTTATGAAAACACTGCTGGTACGACATTATGAATTTACTCATCAGCGTATATCTATCTATATATGAACATGTTTAAATGAAATTACAACACAGAGTTGTAGAAGACAATGCTATTTTTTATTTTATGTTGAAGTATTCTTTGGTATAAGTGTACATAATTTGTATCATGTATTAATTGTGTAATTAACTGCCTCCTGAACACTGCAAAAGAAGAGTAAATAAAACCTTGAAGATTATACACAAACATGTTTCTGGCATCTTTTTGTAAAGAAAAACACAAAGTGTGACCTCAAATCAACGCTGAGCTTCTGCACGCATTCAAATCTGGAAAACAACATGCATTATTAGCTTAAATTAGGCAGATATATACAAAAATAGTTGCCTAGATGTCAAATACTCCCAAATATAATCACATATTATTCATTTGCATGGCATGACAATCCTCTCCCACTCATTCACTCATGGGCGGTTCTGCATCGCATTCACACAGGATCAAATTCATGGCTTCTGAGATTAAAACATTTGCAAAAAAGCATGCAAACATTATGCAAAAGGGGGGTGGTGGTTGGGGAGGTTGTGGTTGTTGGTGGTGAAGGTGGGGGGGGGGGGGGGGGCCTTGAACAATTCCCAGGCATGTTTCCACAACAATGCCTTATCTGCATTTCCATACTTGCACCGCTAGTCTTTGAACGCCACGTCTAACGGCCGTGCAGAGAGCAATGTTTCCACGACGGTCAGTCCTCCTCCTCCTCCTCTGAAAGCTTCTGTCACAGAACTGAGAGGAGAGAGGGGGAGAGTGAGGGGGGGAAGAGAGAGAGAGAGAGAGAGGGGGGGAGACCCACTGGAAAAAGAGCAATGAAGGTCAAAGCCTGTCATGGCTGCAGGTGGCTGGTTCCCCCCCCTCCCAGTACACACACTACTCTCGCTCACACACTCACATCTTACTATCACTCGGGTTTATTTTATTTTTCCTGGCACGCACACACACTTGATTCCTCACATGCTCACTCTCACACACACACACACACACACACACCCCTGTTGTTTCAGGTCCATCAAGAAGAAAAATATTCACTCTCAGAGAAACTCCCCGAAGTTCAGACAGGGACACGGGGGCATGGAGCTGCAGGAGCACGCTCTCTCTGCTTTAATACGGGAAAATAACGTGTCTCATTGCAAGAAAAAGTGAGTTTCAGATGCTTGGTGTTGCACATGTCAACATTTTACAATCGTATCTTCCTGTTTATTTATCGAAGTGTGCAACCAAATTGTTTGGGAATCAATAAAACCTGTAAGCCACTCATGAAGACAGAAGCATGCACGTCGGTTTAGAAACTTGTTTCTCTATTTTAGGTTTTAAAAATCCAAGTTTTCACTTAAAATGTACTTTATGCATCCGTTTTAGGTGCATACATTACCCTATAATGACACCACATGAATGGACATTGTATTACTCGTTTCTCCATCTGAAATACGTTTGAAAAAAATCCAGGTTTTCTCCTAAAATGTACTTTATGCACCTGTTTTAGATGCATGTGCACACACTACCCTAATCAGGACAGATGCATGGACATAGGTTCTCCATTTCAAATATAGTTCAATACTTTTAAATATCTACGTTTTCTCTTAAAATGTACTTTAAGCACCCGTTTTAGATGCATATGCACACACTACACTTGTTTTTTTTGACATATTGGTTTGGTAATCATGTTTGGTTGACTTATTTCTGTATTTGTACATTTTATAAATCTATGCTTACGCACGTTACGTTTTAGACACATATGCATGCTCTTTTCAAAATGTCAAGTAGGAATACGATACTGGTTGGACGTGGATTGAGTAGTATTAAGCCATAGTGGCCATGCTTATTGTGTGCCTTGTAATCATGACCATGTTTTGATGCTGACAAACCAATATGTGTGTGTGTCTGTGACCCCTCCCCACACCACACCACAAACATCTCACAAACCAAAGAAGAAAAACGAGCAGCAGCAGAGAGGACAAGCGACCACGGACGGCCTTCTCTGCAGAATCAATAGCCGAAGCTGCACGAGCACGCTCTCTTTGCTTTTATGTGAAAGTAATTAGCAAAAAAGTGACATCCAGGAGGTCAAATGTCCTCCAAAAAACAACATCACATGGAGTACAAATCACCAACAAGCTGGGGAATAATCACCTCTTGTGTAAGAACGTGCAGAAGTTGTACAAAATGCATGAAATTCTCAAGCTGCAAAGATGGAAGTGAGCGCAGGATACATCAGGAGAGTATCAATGTCTACCCCTAAAACACAAAAGGGTCCCCCCCCCCCCCCATCCTACTATGACCTCTCCCACCATCCTCCCACCCCCCCCACTGTGTCATTTACCCACTTTTCTAAAAATGCTTCCTACGGCCAGAGTGGAATCTGCTGCTCAGAGGTGCCCGGGCTTTGTGGCGGAAACATAATTAAAGTGGTGAAAGATGTAAAAGGTGAAGAATGGGGATGACATCAGGCCAATTTCACACTTGGCACTCGAGTGGCTAGGTCCAAGCCAGGACTCTTGCCTCGGAACGCAGATCAAAGCCCACTGTCACCGCACCACTGCTGCAAAAAAGAGAGCTAAAGGGACACCTAACTATGCTAATCCCCAGGACGAATATATTTTAATCTTGTTAGAATACAAGTTAATGCCGTGGCTCAGTGACTGAACTCTTCTTGGCAAGAAAGAGAGAATTACTTTTTACCTTTTCTACACATTCGGCACGGGGTAAACAGAGTCTGGACTAACTTTTCTTTACATATAGTGTGCAGGAGGCTAGGCAGGCAACAGTTTTCATTAAGGAGCGTCTGAAGCCCCCGCCAACTCACAAGGAAATGAGTATTTTGTGGACTTTCG